GGTCTCCTGTGTGTACAGCTGGTAATACCTGTGCAGCTCTGGTCATAACAAGCAGGCTCCAAGTCCATATCCTTATCAAGAACCCTTTGAAGGCAGGGCCCAGCACAGGACTTGGCCCGGCACAGGACTCTGTGGGAGGATTGCTTGGGCCTAGGAGATTGAGGCTGCAGTGAGCTATGATTACACCAGTGCAACTCCCACCTGGGTTGGGAGCAAGACCCTACCTTGAAGAAAGAGAGAAAGCCACACCAGAGAGCAAAAGAGCAGTAAAGGAAAGAGATGAAGGAGAAAAGACCGTTAAAAAACAGGGTGGGGACAGCTCCTAAGATGGTAGCTAACTTGCCCTGAAAGCCATTAGCTAATCCAGAGAGTGCAGACAGCCTCCCACAGGAGGCTCACTTGCTCCTTCTGAAGCCTCCTGAGGGCCTCACCGGCCACCTGTACCCCAGCTTTGGGGTGTGTGGCTGGACAGAGCAATTTCTAACACCTTTTCCCCATTTCCCTCCACTTTCTCCAACCTCCCTCCCCATTCTGCGCCAAGTAACAAAGTGGAAAAAGATACGAAAGAAACTGGAAACAGCAATTTGGGTTTTATTGTTAGAAACACAAACAAGGTCCAAAGTTAGCAGGAGACTGGGCTCAGCCTAAGAAAACAGAGGCACCACAAGCTCCAAGAACCACCAGCAAGTCATTCATCTGAGTCTCAGCTCCGTCAGCTGCAAAATTACCAGAAGCCTCACAAGAGTGTTGAAAAGATTAAATGAGCTACATAAACAGGAGAACAGTACCTGATTATAGCTCAGGGGTGATCCATAAACGGTCATTGCATTTCAACTGCAGAATGAGTTACCCTTTTACTGGAGTTTTGTTTTTTTTTTAAAAAGTACTTTTTACCCAGTATCTCACCTGAGGCTGGCAGGAGCTGGGACATGGATTATCATCCCCATTTCACAGAAGAGAAAACTGAGAGATCTTCCATAGCCCGCCTGGTCCTCAAGACAGTGTGAAAATTCCGATCCATGATAGTCTAACTCTTGGCATCCCCATCTTTTCCACTGTACCAGCTAAGGGCAGCAACAAAACTAAGGCTCACATGAGATTAACAAGAAGTGCATTTTTTCCTACAAATAGTAACTAAGCCTCTTTTTTTTTTTTTTTGCTTTTTGCTTTTATTCCTCCTCTTTTAGACCAAGCCTATTCAGAGGCTGTGCCAGGCCTCGTACTGAGATGAGATGAATGAAGCGTGGCGCTGCTCCTTGGGGATATGGACACCCAGTAGGACAGGGCAGCAGGATGTGCCACCCACTTGGATTCAGGGCCTCCTGTGCAGCATACACTGCTTTAGGCCCTGGCAAGGCCCTGCTTCCCAAGGACTTTTCCTTCTTCAACTCTTCACTCTTTTCTTAAATTTATTTTTATTTATGTATTTATTTATTTGAGACAGAGTCTCACTCTGGAGCACAATGGTGCAATCATGCCTCACTGCAGCCTTGACCTCCCACACTCAAGCAATCCTCCTGCCTCAGCCTCCCAAGTAGTTGAGACTACAGGCACATGCCACCCCGCCTGGTTAATTTTTTTTTTCATCTTTTGTAGCAACAAGGTTTCACTATGTTGCCCAGGCTGGTCTCAAACTCCTGGGCTCAAGCAATCTGCCCACCTCAGTCTCCCACAGTGCTGGAATTACAGGTGCAAGCCACCATGCCTGGCCAAGTCTTCATTCTTGGGAAAAATAACACAAAGAAACTGAGTGATCAGAGAAGACCCTCTGGGAGGTGATATTTAAGCAGAAAAGTCCAGAGTCCAGCAGGGAACAAGCCATGCAAAGGCCTTAACGAGGGGATGAGCTCCCTGTGCCCATGGAAAGGTCAGTGTGGCTCAAGTGTAGCAAGGGAGACAGGGTCCTGTGAAGGACAAGCAGGGACACTGCATTTGGCTCAGAGGCCAGGGCAGAAGAGAGGGCAGAAAGAGGACTTTCAACAAAGACACTGTCAAATGACTGGCATCTTAAGTCGCATTTACAGAAGCTGCTGGGTACAGCACACAGAGAGGCAAGGGTGGCAGCCGCGAGACCAATGAGGAAACTCCTGTGACCACTCAGACCAGGCAATGTGCACAGGTTTGGGACTGAGGTGGGGACGCCGGCAGCAGGCAGCGAGAAGGAGCTGCTGGTGCAGGGAGACAGCCAGGGCCCACCAGGAATGGTCACTGTGCCTGATGTTACTGAGGGCACAAGTGAGCTGGATGCAGACAGGGTGACCAGGTCTGGCCCCATGGAGGCCATGGAGGATCTGGCAAGAGCAGTCAGTGGACTGAGGAGGACAGAGAATGGGAAGTGAAGGAAGAAGGGCTGCAAACAGAAGTGGAGAACCAGGCAGTGGCAGGAGGGGGTGACATGCAGGAAGGCATGGTGGCTTTGCTTTTTGAGCCGGCAGGTCCTGGAGCACAGCTGTAGGGCAGCAGGAATGACCCCTGGAGAAGGCGAGAGTCGAACTGCAGTGGAGGTCACTGTAGAAGCACAGCCTCCAATGAAGAGGGAGGGTGGATGCAAAGAGCCTGGGATGGTTTGGCTGTTGATAAAGGAGGGAAGTTGCTGGCTCCGCAGAGGAGGGGGAGGCAGGGCTTGGAGAGCATTCGCCAGAGCTCAGAACTCCCAGATACAGACTGGGTTCTTTTGGGGTGCTGTGTCTCCTCTAGGACCATTTGACAGATAGCTACAGGAGGTTCATCTTAACCAGGCTAGAGGACCAACAGTGAAAACAACAGCGGGAAGGGAGGCAGGAGGTGGAGGGTGTTTGAGGAGGTGTGAATACAATGAACACTAAGCTGGGCAAGGAAGGCAGTGAGGACACACAGGTGATCACTCAGGGAAAGGGGAGGGTCAGTAGATCTGACATCCTTGTAAGGCTGGAGAGTCGTCACCACCATGTGAGGAAAACCCCCAAATTGAAAGAAGGCCAAACAATCAACAGGTAGAACTCAAATGAACTGAATGGAAAACAGGAACACAGGGAACAAGGAAAAAGACGGTTTAAAATCCTAAAAATCTCCTCAGAGAGGTATGGTAAGATACTGCATCCATAAATGGAGACAGAATGCATAAAAGTGCTTTTGCAAACTAAAAATAACCAAAATAAAAAAGAAAATGGGGAAAAGAGTCAAAGAAACTCTCCAAAAACAGATCAAAAAGACAGAGCGCTAGGTATTATAAAAACATAAGAAATGTAGAGGATCAACACAGAAAACCAAACCAGCAATGGATTTCTAGAAAGCAGCAGTAGAGAAATTGTATGAAAACAAATTTCAAAGAATTAGTACTCTGTCTAGAACTGAAGGTCATGAGTCTCCGGAAACAGTGGGCCCACCAAGTATCCAGTCCAATGAATGGGAAAACCCCCACATCAATAGAAAATTACAGAACACCAGAGATAGAAAGAAAATTCATAAATCATCTAGAAAATTGATGGGGTAGAGTGGGGAAAATGCAGAATCTAGACCAAATATCAGAAATTCGCATGGCACTGGACTTCTCAACAGCAATGTGGGAAGCCAGAAGACAACGGGATTTTCACTTCAAAATTCTTAACAGGATCCATCTGATGCTAGACGGCCCGAGTTCAAATCCTAGGCCTGCCACTTACCAGCTATGATCACAGCCAAGGTATTTACCTCACTAGGTCTCAGTTTCCTCATCGATAAAACGGGCATAATGATAATCTCTATCATTTATTTGATGTGAGGATGAATTAATCTATCTAAAGCAGTGAGGACAGTGCCTGGCATGTGGTAAGCATTTAAAGGTTCGCTCTTATTAAAATAAGCCAGCCACACTATCCATCAGCAATGAGAGAGCTTCAGACATACATACCTACTCACCTTTCTCACCAAGCCATTGCAGGATACGCTCCAGCAACTTATGGGGTTAAACCAAGAAAAAGGAAAAGACAACGCAAAGAACATTTCCCCTTTCAGGAGGTGCCCAGCATCTGAACACACTTATTTTACCAGGAAAAGTACTCACCTTATAAGGCAAAACCCCCACTTCACCCAACACACACACTCTCACTGAAAATGTCAGATCCTGCAGATCCTCTGTCTCTGCTTAAATGTCACCCTATCCTGACTGCACTGTAACCCAGCAGGCATCCATTGCCCTTCCCTGCCTTCTCTCCATAGTCTGCATAGCCTGTGCCATCACTTAGTAAACTTTAGATTTAACTTGTTTACTTGATTATGGTGTCTCCCTACTCTTGAATGTAAGCTTCAAGAGGGCAGACATGGCCAGACGCGGTAGCTCACACCTATAATCCCAACACTTTGGGAGGCCAAGGTGGGTGGATCATGAGGTCAAGAGATCGAGACCATCCTGGTCAACAGGTGAAACCCAGTCTCTACTAAAAATACAAAAATTAGCTGGGCATGGTGGCACGTGCCTGTAATCCCAGCTGCTCAGGAGGCTGAGGCAGAAGAATTGCCTGAACCCAGGAGGCGGAGGTTGCAGTGAGCCGAGATCGTGCCATTGCACTCCAGCCTGGGTAACAAGAACAAAACTCCGTCTCAAAAAAAAAAAAAAAAAAGAGTGTAGACATTTTTGCCTAGTTGCTTATCTTCCCAGCATCTAAAAGAGTGCCTAGCTCATAACAGGTGCTTAACAAAAATTTAAGAAAAAAAAGTTGCTTTCTAAGCCTCCCATGCAGCCAAGGTACAGGCACATGATGTAGGCTCTGCCAATGCGAAGCATCCACCCAGACCATGATTCCAGAGATATGGCTCCCGTCCACTCTGGAAAAGGTGACAACAGAGAAGTCAGCAACTACCCCCACTACAGCAGCAATGCAAGCTGTGCCCCGGAGCCCAGCGGCATTTTCACAGGACAGCCCTGTGGTGGGATTTGGGATAAGGTTCTTGGCTATGCAGTTTCCAAGCCTGGTTCTCCAGTCTTACAGGAAATTCTGAGAGCCACTCAGCATCGTTTTAATAAAATCTCTTCTCTGCCTAAATCAGTCAGTTTGTGATATATAGTAAACCAGAATTCGGCGGACACAGGAGAGTTTTGATGAGAAGCCACAGTAGGTCTGCAGGGCGTAGATGTGCACTCCAAACGGGTTTGCACTGCGGGAAAGATGAAACTGAGAGAAACTAAGAGATAATTCACAGGAATTTGACAGACCAATGAAATATCTCGGGGGAAATGGTAACAGCCCCATATAAAATATAAAATATAAAACTAAGTAAACTAAGTAAACGAAAAAATATAACCTCACGAAAACAAAAGGTTGTACTAGAAACGAAAAGTTCTGATGGTACACGACTTGATTTGGTATCCTGTTCCAAACATTACCACCATGCTGAAAAAGTAAGACTCCAGAGGGTGCTATAGAAACAGCTTTACCATCCCCAGCCCAGGCCACTACCACTGTCCCTTCTAAAACTCCATCTGCAGCCTTGTTCCCCATCCCCGCCCCTACTCCTATGAAGTCTGTGGAAGTCTGGAAGTTCCCTTAACTCTGTGGATCACTCCTAGATCATAAACAATCGTCCAGGCTCTTTTTAGTCCCAAAAACAGTATCATCTTAGTAATTAAGATGTCCTGACGGCAGGGCATGGTGGCTCACACCTGTAATCCCAGCACTTTGGAGGCTGAGGCAGGTGGATCATGAGGTCAGGAGATTGAGACCATCTTGGTCAACATGGTGAAACCCCGTCTCTACTAAAATTACAGAAAATAGCTGGGTATGGTGGTTCATGCCTGTAATCCCAGCTACTCAGGAGGCTGAGGCAGGAGAATCACTTGGACACAGGAGGTGGAGGTTGCAGTGAGCCAAGATCACACCACTGTACTCCACCCCAGGCAACAGAGCAAGACTCTATCTCAAAAAAAAAAAAAAAAAAAAAAAAAAAAGATGTCTTGTCCAGATTAACAATCTCAACTCTGACCTTTACAAACAGTCAAAATTCCCTGCCCTCGGGCCTGCCAGGGTCAATGTCTCAGACCCCTGACCCTGTCCACTGGAGCACTTTGGACTTGCATGCTTAGTGCCCACTGTGTTCCCCGGCCACTTCTATGGGGTCCCAGGGAGCTCCCCTGGTTGGCAGGCACCCTCATACATCCTGTGGGACACTTCCAGCTTCTCACCTCTACCTGGCAAGAAGCTCTCTTGGGCAGGATCCGTTTGAAAACAACCACTTCACGGGTCCCTTGAACACAGCCTCTGCCCCATCATTAGCAGAAACAGTGCAGCCATCTCTCCTCTCTCTGCCACTAGGCAGAGGCTCCAACCACAGCCTTTTGTGTTCCATATTTCCAGGCATGGATCAAATGCATCACCGCCTAGCTTCCAGGGCTGTGCTCAGTTCTCTGAGCGATCCTCTTAGAGCACTTCTCTCTTGAGTTGAGGTAAGGAAAAAGTGTCCCTTCCCTGCCCACCTGGCATGGGAGAAGAAAACATCACAGCTTCTCAACAATTCTCTCTGAAGAAATCCTCCCTGTAAGCTCTTCCACCTCAACCCTTTCCTATCCTCAAAGCATATGCCAGGTAAGGATCTCAAAATCAGAGTTGAGTTTACGCACCTGAAGTCCTGCTTTGGAATGCAGTGGCCATTGCCTACTGTTAATATCCATTGTCTTAGGACTTGGCCAGACCCACAATGCCTACATTAATACCACATAGTCCCAGTGGGACACTGCTTTACCCCAAGAATTGTGATGCAGCTGGAGCAGGAGGAAGGAGGGAGAGGTAATGCAAGTAAGATAGGGATGGAGTAGGAGTCGAAGAAAATGAAATCTTCTATGGAGAAAGGAGGATGCTCAGACATTGCTTGTGGGAATGCAGGACAGCCATTATGGAAAACGGTATAGGCCAGGCACGGTGGCTCATGCCTGTAATCCCAGCACTTTGGGAGGCTAAGGCGGGTAGATCACCTGAGGTCAGGAGTTTGAGACTAGCCTGACTAACATAGTGAAACCTCTTCTCTACTAAAAATCCAAAAAAAATTAGCCTGGCATGGGGTGGGCGCCTATAATCCCAGCTACTTAGGAGGCTGAGGCAGGAGAATCACTTGAACCCAGGTTGCAGTGAGCCATTGCAGTCCAGCCTGGGCAACAAGAGCTAGACTCCATATCAAAAAAAAAAAAAAAAAGTATAGTGGTTCCTCAAAAAATTAAAATTAGAGCTACTCTATGATCCAGCAATCCCATTGCTGTGCAAAAATCCAAAAGAATGGAAATCAGTATATCTGAAGCTGGGCACAGTGGCTCACGCCTGTAATCCCAGCACTTTGGGAGGCTGAGGCAGGCGGATCACCTGAGGTCAGGAGTTCGAGGCAAGACTGAACAACATGGTGAAACCCTGTTTCTACTAAAATTACGAAAATTAGCCGGTCGTGTCCCCGTGTGCCTATAGTCCCAGCTACTCAGGAGGCTGAGGAAGAACTGCTTAAATCCAGAAGGCAGAGGTTGCAGTGAGCCAAGATCATGCCACTGTACTCCAGCCTGGGCAACAGAGCAAGGCTCTGCCAAAAAAAAAAAAAAAAGGATATCTACATCACCATGCTTATTATACAGCACTATACCCAACAGCCAAGAAGGGATCGACCTAAGTGTCCATCAATAGACAAATGGATAGAGAAAATGTGGTATAAATACACAATAGAATATTATTCAGTCATAAAAAAGAATGAAATTCTGTCATTTGCATCAACATGGATGGAAATGCAGGTGGTTATGTTAAGTGAAACAAGCCAGACACAGAAAGAAAAATATTGTATATTCCCCATACTCATACGCGGGAGCTTAAAAAAGCTGTTCTCATGGAGGTAGAGTATAGAATGGTGGTTACCAGAAGCTGGAAAGGGTGAGGGGAAGAAAAGAAGAGAAGTTGTTTAATGGATACAAAAATACACAGAAGAATAAGATCTAGCATTTGGTAGTACAGTAAGGTGACTATAATTAATAGTAATAGTTCAAAATAGTTGGAGGAGAGGAACCGGAATGTTCCCAACATAAAAAGGGGGTGAATGTTTGGGATGATAGATGTCCTTGCCCCCTTCAATCATTACACACTGTATGCATGTATCGAAATACCACACCTGCTCCAAAAATATGTACTATTATATATCACTTTTTTTTTTTTAACTTGGATCACAGATGCTTTACGTAAAGGTCCATCTCAATTTACGTGTGGCAGCACAAAATAAAGCACCACATCGTGACACACCATTTCCATCGCAAGCGGTCGAATCCAACATCCAAAGCCCAGCGAGCAGCCAAACAGCACAACTTCCAGGCCTCCCGCTCGGACTCCAACAGGGTCAGCACGTCGCCCTCGCGCACGGGGCCTTTTACATGGCGGATGCTGGAGCGGCTCGTGTTGTCCATAAATTCCACGCGCACCTGCGTGCACTGAGAACGGGTCCTGCCCAGGACCTTGGTGACCCTGGCCAACTTGACAGGCTGCACACGGCTGGTATCCATGATGGCGGCTCAGCGGCGGTCTGGCGGAGCTATATATCATATTTTAAAAAGAAAAACGAGGTTCTGAGCCTTGGCAACATAGCGAAACTCCTTTGCTACAAAAAATACAAAATTATCTGTGCATGGTGGCGTGTGTCTGTGGTCCCAGCTACTCTAGAGGCTGAGATGGAAGGATCGCTTGAGCCCAGAAGATCTGGCTGCAGTGAGCCGAGATCACACCACTGCACTCCAACCTGGGTGACAGAGCAAGATCCCATCTCATAAAAAAAAAAAAGTTCTGGTACACAGTAGGTACTCTGTAAAAATATATTAAATGACTGAAAGAAACAAACAAAAATCACTTTTTGTAAAATAAATTTTTATTTATAAAATAAATTTTTTATAAAATAAATAAAAATCATTTATTGAATGGCTGAAAGGAAAAAAAAAAATCCTCATGTGTCATAATAGGAAACCAGTAACCAGTAAGTATACTTGATCTAGAAACAGGAGCAGAAATCTTATTTAGGGCAGCCTAATCCCGGCTCTAACGCTCACCAGCTGAACGACCCTTTCCTCCTCCACATTTGTTTCTTCATCTGCAAATCGGGGATAATAACAGCAACTCCTCCCTAAGGCTGCTGGGAGAACGAAGGTACCTGGAGCATGCCTGGACGGTAAAGGTGACAGAGTTACCTTCCACTGTTTTTATTTGTGTAACTGAGATGTACAGAAGAAAATGCCAGAAAAAAATGACTGAGGTGAAGACCAGGCTGTTGTGTTATCCAGATGCACACACCTGGTGGCCCCCTGGAGGTGGGCACCATAGCAGCCCTGGCCGAAGGCAGCTGCCTCTCCGGAGGGTGACAGTGGAGGAGGGGGGGCTCTCTCTAAAGCCTTATTTTATTAGGTGATTTTTAAAACTATGTTTGGCATTATTTTGCTAAAAATAAAAGTTTATTTTTAGAATGTTAATAAAACAAGCTCCCACAGTAGTAATAATAATAAATGATGGGACTTGGTGAATGACAAAAAGAAAGCAATGAAGGAAAAGACAAAAGAAAATCTTGGAAATATGACATAAAAATTCAATTTTTTATTGCAAAATCATCATAAAAATGTATTGACAGCAGACTCATAAAAATATTAGTAATATGATCAGCAAAGGCATTAACATCCTTAATGACAGCACTTTAAAAATCTCGATTTTAAAAATTTTATAAGTAAAATATTCAGATGCCCAACATAAACAACAATTTGCAAAAGAGGAGATAAGAACTCTGAATCAACACACAATATCTGTTTGATCATACTAATAATCAAACAAATGTATAATAATAACCAGATGTTATTTCCATCTTCAAACTGGGAAAATTTTGAAACACTGGTGAAGATACAGTGCTCTGAAACAGCAATGCCTGCAGCTGTGAAAATCAGTGTACCCTTCCCAAAGAGCTATGTGGTAATATGTGTTAAATGTTACCACCCTATAGCCTAGTAATTTCCACTTCTGGGAATCTATCCTTCAAAAATAATCAGAAACGCAAATGAAGATTGCTATATAAAGATATTCACTGCAGCATTAGCTTTACTGGGGGAAGCTGAAAATTCTGAACCATTATGCACATGCAAGTAACATATATACATATTTGTATTCACATAAACTATCTCTGAGAGGCCAGACAAAAGAGAGAAGACGAAGGCTCTCCCTGAGGACCCTTCTTGGACCTTCTAAATTTTGGACCACTTTAATGTATCACCTGTTCAAAACACTTCAAAAATTTTAATAAAACGTAATATGCAGGCCAGGTGTGGTGCCTCACTCCTATAATCCCAGCACTTTGGGAAGCCGAGGTGGGAGTATTGCTTGAGCCCAGGAATTCAAGACCAGCCTTGGCAACATAGTAAAAACCCGTCTCTATAAAAAAAATTAGCCAAGCGTAGTGGCATGTGCCTGCAGTCCCAGCTACTTGGAAGGCCGAGGTGGGAAATCGCCTGAGCCTGGGGAGGAGGAGGCTACAGTGAGCTGTGATTGGGCCACTGCACTGCATCCTGGGTGACAGTGAGACCCTGTCTCAAAAAAAAAAAAAAAAAAAAAAAAAAAAAAAAAACACAGTAGGCCAGGCTCAGTGGCTCACGCCTATAATCCCAGCACACTTTGGGAGGCCAAGGCAGGTGGATCACTTGAGGCCAGGAGTTCGAGACCAGCCTGTCCAACATGGTAAAACCCCATCTCTACTCAAAATATAAAAATTAACTGGGCATGGTGGAGCATGCCTATAATCCCAGCTATTCCAGAGGCTGAGGTGGAAGAATCACTTGAACCTGGGAGGCAGAGGCTACAGTGAGCTGAGATTGAGACACTGCACTCCAGCCTGGGTGACAGAGTGAGAATGTCTCAAAAAATAAAAAAAGTAATATGTTTCTGAATGTTGACAAAGGATGTTAATAACATAGAAAAGGTTTATTGTGTTCAATGTTAAGTTTATTATTATTATTATTTTATTATTTTTTTTTTTTGAGATGGAGTCTCACTCTGTCACCCAGGCTGACTCAGTGTGGTGGCTCAATCTCAGCTCACTGCAACCTCCGCTTCCCAGGTTCTTCAAGCAATTCTCCTGCCTCAGCCTCCCAAGTAGCTGGGATTACAGGTGCACACCACTACACCCAGCTAATTTTTATATTTTTAATAGAGACAGTGTTTCGCCATGTTGGCCAGGCTGGTCTCAAACTCCTGACCTCAGGTGATCCGCCTGCCTCAGCCTCCCAAAGGGCTGGGATTACAGGCGTGAGCCACCGCACCTGGCCTTAAGTTTAAATGTAAGAATGTAAGACTATATTCAGAATGATCTCAATGATGTAAAACTATACTAATACACAGACAAGCATAGAAAAAAGACTAAAAAGAAACCTACCAAAATGCAAACAGTAATCATTACTGAGGGTGAGATTCCAAGCAAGTATTATTTCTGTCTTTCCATGTTTGCATACTTTCCAAAGCTTCTACAGTAAGTATATAGTACTTACATGTGTGGAAAAAATAAAGAGTATTAAATTAAATTATCTTTAAAGGGTCAACCACTTCCCAAAGAAGGACTAGCAGTAAAAACTAAGTAATTTGTTAAAAGTCAGGAACCCACAAGAATAAACCAATATTCTGCCATTCCCATCTAAGCTGCTGCTCAGGGCACTGTTAGCATGTTTCCAGTTCCAGTGATGAGCTGGCTCTGGGATCCCCACTAAGGACCCAGCAGAAGCCTCCCACCTGGGCCAGCCACTCAAATGCCACCTCTCATGGAAGAGTGCCCTCATGTCTCTTATCAGTGCTGTCTTATGAACACTCTGAGAATAGGACAGACCCTAGGACTCACATGCACATCTCCAACAGAAGGCAGGCCTAGTGACCAGCATGCCAGCCCCATCTCAACGTTTCTATGGCCATCTGCTCACCCTCTCAACTGGAGGCTCCCCAAGGCAGATGCCAAGGATGCTAGAGAGCCTAGCATGTGACAATAGTGTTAGGAAACAGGTGAGGAACAAATGAATAAATTAAAGAATGATATTCCAGACTAATGCTGTCCAACAGAACTTTCTGTGATGGAGGAAACGCTCTATATTTGCATTTTCCAATATGGTAACTACTAGCTAGCCACGTGTCTACTGAGCACTTGAAATGTACCTGGTATGACTGGGAAACTAAATTTTAGACTTTATTTAATTGTAATTCATCTAAATAGCCGTAAGTGTTCTTGTGAAAAAGCAAACATCACAAGGTAGTTTTAAGATTAAACAGGATGATCTTTTATTTTATTTTTAGAGATAGGGTCTTGCTCTGTCACCCAGGCTGGAGTGGCTTGATTACAGCTGACTGCATCCTTGAACTCCTGGACTCAGGTGATACTCCTCCTCAGCCTCCCAAGCAGCTGAGATTACAGGTGCATACCACCACACCCAGCTAATTTTTAAATTTTAAAAGTAGAGACAGAGTATCACTATGCTACCCGGGCTGGTCTTGAACTCTTGGTTTCAAGCAATCCTTCTGCCTTAGACTTGCCAGTAGCTGGGACTACAGGTTCATGGCTATTAAGATGATTCATTTTTAAAAAGATGATTCATCCAGTGCCTAACAGTGCTCAATAAATGATCAATGTGAGATAATGAAAAAAATGGAGAGGAGGAGGAAAAGCAATGGGAGGAGGGTCCCCAACAGCCCCACCTGCTTAGCCAACATCAAACAGTGGGAATTTACTTGTCTCCATCCCCCACCCCACCCCTAGCAAATAGCTCTTCAGTATTCTGAGTGCACAGCAGTGAGAGCCATGGAGAGAGTGGGAGTGGGAGTGGGAGGCGTGGGGAGGGAGAGGTATAAGGCTGGGACAGGAGAGGCCCCGCAGACTTGCCGAAGGAAGAAAGCTGCTGGCCTCTATTGCCTGAGACAGTAAGGGGGTATTCACTCCAAGAAGAATGCTTAAGCCAGCAGAATCGGCAACAGGTGCAAGGAAAGGGCTTCCCAAGGCAGTCCCCGGGCCCAGGATTTAACACTCTGTCCAGTGTCCTGTAGAGGGCTGCTCTGCAAACTCAAGTTTGACCTGTCCTCAGAGTTCCCAATCGTTAGCCATCTCGAGAGCCCTTTCCCACCCTACCTCACTGATCCTCACACTAGCCTGGCCAGAGGAGCGAGCACCTATTTCCATTCTACAACTCAGCAGACCAAGGCTTGGTGAGATTGTCTGAGGTCATGAGGCTAAGACTGGTTGGTAAACTGGAGTCTGCTTAGGACCGACATAAATGATAAGGTGGTGATGCCGCAGAGAGGGCTGGAAACTCAGCCAGTCTGAAGGGGGAACCTGCAAACACCCGCCCTTCTCGGGCTCTGAGCTCCGAGAAGCAAGGGCTCCGTCTCTTGGTTCTCCACCGGTGTCCTAGGGCAGAACCTAACACTGGGAGCATCCTATAAATATGGACGAACCAACCAACCACCAGCCAAACACAGGTACAGCCATTCCAGTTTTCAGGCTACT